CATTTGCATATTTAAAATCGTACATGAAAGTTCTTTACAAAAACTTCAGATTTATAAATCCTGTTGCTTACACGGAACATCCTTCCCCCCTGGGCTCAAAAGGCAATCTCTGACTAAATATACTCCGAATCGATAAACAAGATACCCTTTGCGATTTGATTTTTTTTTTACTTGTTGAGAGTTCCGATTTCAGTGGCCCAGAAAACGAAAGTATTCAAGCTGCAGCTGATTTTGGCAAGGATTCAGCCCCTGGCCAGGCTGTCGCACCCCGAATTCCGCCGCACACAAGCGGTCGTACAAAGCGAGGCTGATGCTCGATAACTGATCGAATCTGAGCCATTCTCTATGCCAAAAGCAGTACCGTGGACATCACGAAAAGAAGGAAACCCCGATCCGATTGGGCACTCTTTTTGTGCAGAAGGCGCCGGATATTTGCAGCAGCAACAAATACCAAGAGCAAAAGGTCCTTTGTGCGAGGAGACGAAATTTATCGATAAGTGTTTCACATGAACGCAACTCTCGATTGCCACCGACGTTGGTTCAATGGACGGACACTCGGCCGTTGATGAATTGCTTTCTTTCTCCGTGCAACTCTTTCGGAAGCTGGCCGACAAAACTCGGGCTTTTGTTGGGGAAAACACGACAGACAAAAAGGAGCGGACGATCTACGACTTATTGGAGTTTTTGCTAATGTTAGGCACTTCAGTGTTGTGTGGGAAGAGCAGGAAAGGCAGCAAGTTGCAAGTTTTTCTACAAATTTCTGAGCTGAATTACAAAATTCTCTACTATTTGATATGATGGAGACGATAATCATAAAAAGTTTATCACGAATACATATTGGCTTTTTTATTCCATCAAAATTGCTACTGCTTCAACATATTTCCGTGCACTAGATATGAAAAAAAATTGTCATTGAATGAAAAATTAATAATGAATGAGTTATGAATTTTGAATTACTTTGAGAGGACTTTTGTGTTTTAATAATATCCACGTCACCAGAAAGTGAATTTGCACCGTTGAAACATTTATCACCGAGATAGTCCACGCGGCGGCGTTGAAGCAAGAGAGCGATTGCTCTAATCTGGAAAGCAAATGACTCGTTGGTGCTCCTTCTCGGGGTGGCCACATGTCCACGCGTGATTAATGAATTAGCCTGACCGCCAAACGCACAGCCCTCTGGCCATCCGGTTTCTCTTCCAAATCGATTGTAGGACTTCGTGCAGAAGCAAAGCGCTCAAAAGGGCTCCTTGCCCGCCCAATTCAAATGATATATACGCACGGTCGGCCTGTTTACTTTACATATTATTATTCTCTGTGCCGCAGAATTAAATACGAGGTATACAAACTGGAAATAGAGAGAATTCGCTTGTTTCGGCCCGTAAAACGCGGTGCGGATTGGCAAACAGCGCGAAAGAGACGTGCTGGGCGGCTCTTGTTTGTTTGTCCGTGCTTCTCTATAGTATGTGCGTAGCTCTGCTGTTTCGGCCAGAATATTTGCATACTTGGCGTAATTATGGAAATGGAAGCGCCCGCCCAGCGCTTGTCGTTGTAAGCAGGTCGTCCGGAAAAAGGCAAACTCAAGAAATAGCGATGTTGCTGGCGGGGTTTAGGACGCTGCGCCGTCTGCCGTGGGTTCAAAGAAAAGGATAATAAAATCGTTGGAGGTGATAAATGTAATGCAAACCTGCATGAGTAAGCACATAAGCACCATTCAAAACTTTATCCTAGCAAAGCAAATTTTTTGAAGAAACTATTTTTTAAGAACACTATTTTTTACTAGGCACGTTTATTTCTTTGAAGGAAAGAGTAAACTGCATAATTTTTTATTGAAACTTCCATTGATTAGCAATTTATATATAGGGGACTCTGAAATTTCAAGAAATATGATAATAAAACAATGACCTTAAGTCATGCTGATTAAGTTTTCAAAAATTACATTTCACAAAGTAGAAAATTAAAAATTCAAAAATTATTACTTTAATAAAAAGATCTTGCATCAAAATAATTTGAACGATCATATTTTATTTCTAACTTTTAAAAATTATTAAAAATTAAATTTTAAATAATTTATAAAAAAAATTGAAAATTAAAACATTTAAGTCTTTGAAAAATCTCTAAATTTATATAAGTAAACCAAGCTATTATTAATTAATTTTTTTACTATAAATATAATTATTATTTATTTACTTTTTATCTTATCATATCTTTTAAGCAAAAAAAAAACTATTTTGGTACTTATATGTCTGGATTGTGAGTCGTGAGATTTTTGTTTCTCTCTCAATAGATTAATAATGGCTAAAAGTGAGCAGCTGAGCCATTTTTCATCCGTCTAGCAGAGATACCGGCCGGAAGGGTTCCTTTCATTTTCCCTCTCAGGCAGTCTGGCTGCTGGCTGGGGGTGACTGTTTAGGCTAATGCGAATTTTATAAGGCGCTGGGATTTCTCCCTTTTCCATTTGCACCTTGGGGGTGTGCGTGTTGATAATGGCAAAAACGGGCGCCGGCCAAATGGAGATTCTATCGACAGTTTTTGCCAGCAAAGAAAGACGCCGCGGACGTGAATGGAATAACGAATGGCGCTGCACAAAAAGCAGCAAGGGTTTGACGCTGCAAATGCGATTGTGAGCGCTCGGCGCGAAAGTAATGACTTCATTTTTGCGCGCGCTGTGTGGATGGATGCTGCTGAGAAATGTCTGCCGTCGTTATTCTGCAATCCGCCCAAAGACGACAAAGGGCCCAAGATTATTAATTTTTATGGCCTCGGGAAGGAGGAAACTCTCCTTTCCGCACCCAAAACTCATTATTCGCACCTTCTTTTGATCTTCGCGAGACGTGAAGAATCCGTTCCGACGTCTTTAGAGATCATTTCAAAAGACATCTCGTCACCGAGCTTCGCCTTATTAATCTTTATTAAAAGCAGAAGTTCCACTTTTAAAGAGTCCACAAGTCATTTAATTACACACGATCAAGTTGCATCTGTTGGAATCTCAGCAAAACTAAATTATAATAACAGTAAAACCGGACCAGAGCAGGACAGAAAGTTAAATTCCGCACAAGCAATCCGTTTTTCTCCAAAGTTCTCCCGCAGGGCGGCACGGACCAATCTCGTTAAGTACACATTCAGAGGGATCTCTCGGAAATTAATTATTTGATAAATTTCCCAGCGCGAGAGTCAAAAGCTTGGCGGGACGGCGTTTTAGATTCGGCAGAAATGAGTTATTTGTATTCGCGATAGCACTGGCGAAAAAGGAAAAAAAAGAAAGGCTTTTGGTAGATGTGTGCCATTTATCACGAGAGCGCTGGCACGACTTGAAAAGTAACGACCGCAAATATAATGATAAATAATGCATTAGTGCTGATACAGTTGTGCGGAGAGAGCTTGTTATTTTTTATGAAGGGGCGCGCGCGTGTGCCTTGGTGGGTTCATTTATAGTAATCGACGCCCACCGTGTTTTCGGACCCTGCCATTTTCAAAGCAAACGCGACCTGTCAATGAGTCAAAAGTGCTTTCGTATTGATTGACTGGAAATTCCACTTTAACTTTGACAACAGAAATTGGATACTTAGTTTTTTTAAGTTCAAATCCTTAAACTTTATTTTCAAGTAAAAAACTAACTTTTTCAAGTAAAAACTAAAAATGATTTGTGTGAACGCAAATTTCTTGCGTTTAAATTAAATGGCTTTTAATTGAAAATTTTTATGCTCAATATTTTATGATTTTTTTTTAACAAATTAAGGAAATAATTATTTCTATCATTCTGAGAAGGAAAAGTTTTGAGCAAATGTTTTTTTCTTCAGAGAAAGCAGCAGCCTGGATGACACAGCTCCGGCGTCTATTCCATCGCCTGGCTGGTTTTCTTTTGGACATTTCTCAGCGCACGTCCTTTGGCAGACTCGTCCTGCATGTTGACAAGGGTCGGCTGCTCTAGTCTTTTCTTTGCCTCGATCCCAGCGGCGACCAAATAGTTTGGACCGATTCTGAATTACATGACGAGCACGACTGCTTTTTCGCTGCTGTGTCTTCTCGGCGTGAATGTCGCCAATTAATCAAGCGACAAATTGAGCCTAAATAACCCGTCGGTTGGATGCTCTCTACGCAAAATTGTTTGCGCTACTCGAGTGACCTGATAAGATCGTATATATAATTAAACTTCTAGCATCTCGGGATTTTGCAACAAAGATCGGCGAACTTTGATCTTTGAGACAGGTATCAATTTTTCCTTATTTGCTTTTTGTTGGGTTAAAAAGAAAATAAAAAATAAAATTCTCGATACATCAATTTAGGAATTGTTAAAAAGAAGTCTTGAGGGAATAGCATTGTTTTCCCGGAAAAAGCAATGGCGGTTTCCTGTGAAGTAGGAAAAGCTGCTTTATAAATAAGAACTATTGAATTTGTGCGTTAGGGTAATCCAGGACTGTGATAACCGCTTCATATAATTTGCACTTAAAATTTCCTTTTTGGAAAAAAAACATTAAATTTCCTGCGAAGGAAGATATCAAAATATCATTTTTTTTTTTAAATTGAACCATTTTTATTGAATTATTAAATATTTGGCTCTTTTTTTAAACAAATTTCCAACTATATTTAATCAAGAAATTGATGAAGATTTTGCCATTCACAATAGTCAAAGTGTTTAATTAAAATTTACACGATTTTTATATATTATTTGTATTGCAAACTTGAAAGTATTTTTAATCTCTGCTATTTTCAAATCAATTCTCTTTTGGTGGTTTTGCACCTACAATTAATGAGATAATGCTAAAAAAGGGGTCAATATTTTCCAAGCTTACTTCTTACGCAAATAAATTCATACAACGAATCAAAGTAAAATAAACTTTGTGTTCTATTGAACGAGATAAATAAGTGTTCTGATATTAGTATGAATAAAATTTTGCTACTAAAGGCCAATAAGAAATTACTGGTGTTCCCTGTGGAGTTCGATTTGAGCTTATAGTGAGTGGGCCAGGGCGCACATGTGTACTTCCTTGACTTGTACTTACCGAGTATTCCGAGCCGATAGTTGAACGTGACGACGATCACTCTGCCGACGGCGGCCAAAATGGTGCCGTCGTAAGCACTGCCGGCGTTCCACTCGAAAGATTCGCCGTGCACCCAGACGAGCACCGCGTACGGCGCGTCTACGCCTTGCGACCCTGCAACAATCACACCGCCCTGCTTATTATCCATACTTATTATTGTGCCACCGACAGAGAGAGACGAATCGCGTGTGAATTATATAGAAAGGGGATGCAGAGAGAGAGCAACATCAGCCTCCCCTGTCATCAGTGTGTCTGTCTGTCTGTGTTCATTAGTTCTTTGCGGTCGCGACGCTAAATCCCCATTTCAGCCAGTCATCCGCCATCCATGCACATACGGGCGTTTTGCCGCCTAATTAATGGACTGTATAGGCATGGCTGTGTGTTTGCCCTTGATAGAGGCAATCATTTGGTGATGACACACGAGTCGATTTCGCAGGGTTGGAAAGCAAATGTCGATCAAACACACAAGAAGCACAATCAAAATCAGTGAAATTACAGCAGTTATATCTGCGTAGAAACGATTTCAAAGGACCACACAGTTACGTTTTTTTTAATCATACAATTTCATTTAAAGTTTCCAAATTTCACAAACGATGTCCAAGTTGCAAGCAAGAGATTTTCAGCCCTCACTCTTACCAAACCATGAAATCAGTATTAGCTTCTTAAATAGCAGTCAGCAATAATTTGCTCCTTTTTTTGAGAGCCAAAAAATTTATTTTGGTGGTATATCTTTTACTTTCGAAGCAAGCAATTTATCAAGCACAGAAGGGTGAAATTTTTTTCATAAAAAGTAAAGCATTTTAAATAAATTAAAACAGTAGCAACTCTCAATTAAATTTTTAATAATATTTACTCTTCTTGGCTGCTTCTCTGAAAAAAAAATTATAAATTAAAAAAAAGAGTTGAAAGGGTTTAAAACAATGTCTGCTGAAGCGCTCAATATCAAAAGAGACTCGGTAGCCGCGGAAAATCCACAATATTACTTAATATTTATATATTTAATTTATTTTTAGTCGCAAAGTGCCTTTATTTATTTTTATGTGAATAATTTAAGTCAATAGTTGTATTTAATGAAGGTAAATTAAAACGTGTACTCTTTTTTTAACAGTGGTGCAAAATTTAATCAGCTGAAGCAGAGCTCTTGAAAGTCGGACGCTAAAAGGAATGCGCCCTTCCACATTTCTCAGCTTTAATAGCTTTTCTGCAAGAGGCGTGGGAAGGAACGAAATGAATTCAGCCCCAAAGTAGCTCCTCCGGCAGCAAGAAACTTGTGCCATTCCAAGTAGAAAAGGGGTGTGCAATCAAATAAATTTCCTTCGAGAGGGCGGCAAGACAAGGGGCATCAAAATGTAATGCGCTCGCCGGCACCAGAGCTCGGACCCAGCGCGCAAATAAACATTCTTATGCCGCAGCTTCTTTTCCGATACACAGCACACAGAGCGGCCGGCAACGCATTCCCATGTCCGCATTCGTTAGATTTCGCATCGAGGACCAGCTGGGAGATGCTGCCTCTCCGGTATAAAAATTTCACGTGTAAAAAATTCAGACCTGCCGTCGCGCATAAAAATGCGGCTTTATGTACTACGTCTCTGCGCAGGTAATTTATGAATGCGTCGCTAATGTAAGTGAAGCAAATTTTTTATCCTTGCGAGCAATAGTTGCAGAAAAATTTCCATTAAAAAATTGGAATCTCGTTGCAATATAAGAGCAGGATTAAGGTCAATTAATTCTGAAAAATTATATCAAACAGAAGAATGTTCACGATCGAGAGTTATTTCGTTTTGTTTTAATTTATAAACGGCACTTCCTCAGTACGGGTTTTGTGATTCGCTTATTGTTTTTAGGAAATTTGTTTCCCATAAAACGACTCTCAAGACCCATCGAGAAATTTTCAATTACTAAGAGATATTAAATAAAAATATGAGCCCAACAATTCGTGAAACCTCATCTTTATACATTTTGCCTTATTCTTTTTTTTTTTTGGAAAATTTTAATAAACAAACTTTTTTTTTCATTCTTCTCTTTTGCCATCCCGGATTTCTTTCTGTAACGTAAATTAAGTAGCTGAGAGCGTGCATTAATGAAAGAAGTAAATTAGCCAGAACAAACAAGTTTTTCCTTCTTGCCTCCGCCTTCCTCGAGTAGGCGGTCATTTGAGCGCTAATTTTTCACCACTTCTTAGCTATACCACTTTTTTGCCTCTTTTTTTAAATTTAATTAATTCCAGAAAGGCATTGCGCCGGTGGCTCGCGTGTTTTGAAATAAATTTTGCAAGCTGTTGATTCTGCGAGAGGCAGCTCGCGCTTTGCACGTCTCTTATGTGCCAGCTCGCATGCGAACACTTTTAATTAAACTTTGAGAGGTGCTGTGTGTGTACGTGTTTCACCGCGCATTATTTATAAATAATTTTACCAACATGTACAAGCGGATGTTGTGTTTACGCGAAAAGTTCTCATTTGAGTTTGTTCGTTGATGGCTGCATCCTACTCTGGGCGCTCGATTCTTTGCAATCTCGACTGCTGCGCGACGAGACGCTCGGGTAATTAGCAAACTCTCAGCCTTGTGCAAACGCCCCACGGGCAAAAAGTGTGTGCAGCTCACCCGTCGATTTGCATTTGACATTAGCCGAGGTGAGTATGGAAATCTGCGCCGCTGGCACTCTATCCGTGTTTTTATTTGTGCTCTACCCAGCATGGTTGAGGATGAAGTTAAATAGAAGTTTGTCAACTGCAAATAATTAGAAATGGAATTAATGATTTTCTAGTTAGCACTGGTTTTCTATTCAAAATACCACACGAGTTAATTCCTTATTTCAAACAAGATGGTTTTAAAAAAAGATCTAAAAATCTTGTTTTTAAATTTACGTTTCTCTTCATTTATTTGAATGAGTTCATAAATGGGTCATGGTTGCCAACATTTTGAACCCAATAAACATTTCTTGAAAATACAATTGTTCCCTAACATTTAATTAGTGCAGTTCTTAAATTAAAAAAAAAATCAACTATTTGAGATTTTATTTTTAATATAAATATTTGGTTTCCTTATATTCTAAGAATGCTAAAAAGGAATACAATTAAATTTATATCACTCTTACTTTTATTTAATTGAGCTCTAGATTGCAGTTGCTATTTATAATGATATAATCAATCAGATATTTACATTTTCAGCATGTCAGATCGGAAATTACATTAATATATTTAATTAAATGAAAAAATCCATATTGCTTATTATAAATTTGCACCGGCATTTGATTGAAATGGATTGGAATAAATAAAGGAATTTGTTTGAATATTTTAATTGCAAACTAGAATTATAAGAAAATGCAAATTGACGCCGTTTGAATGGAAACGAGATGCGGTATAGTCGTTACAGAAACGAATAAGAGACTCATTCTAATGCATATTCATACAATCCAACCGTCTTTTCTGAACCGCGAGAGCTGCAATAAGTTTTTCTTGAACATTGACTGCCTCTCTTCTTATGCTTCATAGAAATCTGAGAGTAGAATCGAACGCATATTACATTCTTTATTTAATGTGCAGATGGTTGATTTTCCGATGCAGAAAATGAGTGGCACGGCGATTGGAATTGGATTCCTTCACGACGGCAAATCACTCCCACAATGCAAACGGCACGTACAGGTTAGTTGCAACCGTATTTTTCTAGACTGACGTAATTGCCTTCGCAGAATTGACTCTAATTTGGTCGCGATTCTCGCGCACGACTGACTTTCTTTCCATTCTTCGCGGCGAGGCATTCACCACGAATAAATTAAAATGCTCGGTGAATGTTTTAACTCGGCCTGTTATATATTTTACTGCTTTGCACTTCTCTCTCCGCGAGAAAATCCTTTTGACAGAGGAAACGCGAGGGGGAAGAAAATTGCTCGAAATTGTTTGACGTGAGGGTAATGGAAATTCATTTTTAACTTAAATTTCCAACCAGCCAACTGGAAAACGCGTCATTTTTCAACAATGAAATTCAATTTGCCTTTGACAAACTGACTAAAAAACACAACAGAGCAAAAATAGAGTTTTTAATCATGTTCTGTTCAACTTTCCGGTTAAATTTGGGAATCTTCTTTGTAAAAAAATAAAAAATTAAGGCAGTAAAAAGGCCACAAAATTCAATAATAAAACAGCCGCAATAAAAGCAATTTATGTGACTTTATGGTGATTGAATTTTGTGGAATTTTTATTCAGCAGTTAAACTGATATCATCTGTCCTGACTTGAAATTCATTTTGACAATAAAAACACGCAATTCATCTTTCATTACAATTCTTCTTGTCAGTATGGCATATTATTAAAAATTACGACTTCAACTGGAACTTTTTTATTATTATGGCCATTCATCAGCGAAATTTCGCGTAAATTAAATGCATCAGTGTGAGTTTGATGTCAAAAGCCTTCAAATTTTTGATGCAGTGCGATATTATCACCTCTTTTTGGAGACGAAATTTAATGTTTTTGTGGAGCAGACGCGTTTAATGAAAAACGGAGGCAGTCGGTTTTTTACATGCACATACAACATTAGCAGAACGCATTAAACCACAGTCACGACGAATTTAGCATTTCAAGCAATCAGCCGAGCGCACGCTGCTTCATAAATTAAATGTGTATGTATACTCGGGCAATAATTGAACTGCGGGCGCAAATGTGAACGCTTTTTGATGCGCCTGCGAAATAAATAAGCAGCAAATAGCGCGGAAAACGCGCGTTCCGCCGCAATAAATTTTCACACCATTGCCGAATACTGTGCGACAGCAGATACGTGCAAAATTAAAATGGAGCAGTGGAACATCAAGTGTTTAACGCGCATACCCATCATCACAGTGACGATCAACAACTGATCTCTACATTTGATAATGAATCTAACAAAGTATATTCCGTTATTCATCGTAAAAAAAATGCTGCAAAGCTGATAACTTTGATTTTTTTAAAGAAGGATAGCACAGCTTTAAAAACATTTAGTTCTAATTTGGTAAGGAGATGATTACAGGTAATTAAAATCTTAAATTTTTACAAATATAGTTTCATTTAGCTATACAATTATCAATTAAAATTCAGTTTCTTTAGTTAACTTTTACAGCACTTTACAGATTCATTCATGACA